AAAGGAGAAAAAATCCACAAAAAAAATAATAATAATTGAAACAAAAACCTTAAGGAAAGATGGCTGTAAAAATTACACCCATGCACAAAGACCCGACACCACCCCGATACCGCAGTCTTGAGCTGGTGTTCCCTTATCAGGCCTGGGGACTGATAAGTATTTTTTATTTTTAATTTGGTTTTTATTTTTTAATTTTTTTTTAAATTTTTCTCCGTGTGCACAGTTCTAGTTTAGTTCCGGTCCATGGGGCGTTGAGCTTGCCGACGAGAGGGAGAAATAAAACGTGCCATTTATGGAGAAAAAATCCACAAAAAAAATAATAATAATTGAAACAAAAACCTTAAGGAAAGATGGCTGTAAAAATTACACCCATGCACAAAGACCCGACACCACCCCGATACCGCAGTCTTGAGCTGGTGTTCCCTTATCAGGCCTGGGGACTGATAAGTTTTTTTTATTTTTAATTTGGTTTTTATTTTTTAATTTTTTTTTAAATTTTTCTCCGTGTGCACAGTTCTAGTTTAGTTCCGGTCCATGGGGCGTTGAGCTTGCCGACGAGAGGGAGAAATAAAACGTGCCATTTATTTTTATTATTTTTATTTTTATTTTTTTTTATTCGATTTTTCACTTGAAGCTCTCCATCGCTGTACATTGGACCCCGCTAATGATACATGTGTACGTACGTTTTTTTAGTGCAATCTCTTCCGTAGATCTTTGTTGACCAAATTGGTGGGTATTGTTACTTATTAATTTATATTTGTCTCATTTTTGTATGTATGTGTATAGTGCGTTTGTAAGTATGTGTGGTTTATAACCCGACCGACTGTGTCATGGGGCTCAGTGTGCCTGTAATTTAATCCCCTCCCCTTATTTTTATTTATTTTTGTACTGTGCTGATTAAATAAAAATGCACTGACCATCCATTACACGGCAGCCCTTGGTGGCCGAGTCTTTTCTGCAGCCCCCGAGGCCCCGCTGCTGGAAATGGGATTTGCTCTGACGACAGAGGGTTTAGGGCAGTCGGGGGTTTAATCGCGTTCGGGCGTCGGGGTCACCCCGTGGCGGGGGCTGGGGGGGCGCGGGGGAGGCCCGAGAGGTGAAAAAACCACAAAACCAGGTTATTGGGAGACGCTAAAACTCCACTTTCCATCGCATCATCCCCCCCAAATCCCCGCGTCCGTCAGAAACTGGGACCACCACGGTGGGATGCAACTAATTGATGGTTTTATTTATTACAGTGAATTATGTAAACAAACCCCTCCCCAGGTCCGTTATAGAAGGGTGGGGGGTTTTTTTTCTGCTTTTTTACACATTAAAATATCAGCGATTTAAAAAAAAAAAAAACCAAAAAAAAAGATTCATTGCATTATCGCCCCAGGCTGAAAATCGAAATTTGATTTAGAAATAGTTAATTTATGGGGGAAAAAAACCAGGAATATATATATTTTATATATTTATATATATATATATATAAAACCAGAGCAGGAACAGATAATATATTTCATAAAGACACATTTCATCACGTACAATATTGCT